CCGAAATATCGTTTCATATTTGGGTAGACAGATTTCTATGACAATTTTGAAATGAGTTGTAACGTCATGCAGAGTAAAAAAGTTTCATTTTACAGAATTGACAGAACTTTAACCTAAACGTTTAGAAGAGTATTTCATGAAATTTCTTCCTCAGCTGAGTCTGTACGAGTCGCCTGTGAGGACTTATACAGTTGCTGAAGAAGAACAGTGAAGTTCTATTCGAAGCATTCAGAAAAGCGGTTTGTTTCATAGGCTCTCTTTAATGAAATTATTTTACTTCTGCATGGTGCTAAAAATTTTTTTCAAAGATTTTATGAAAGAATAATGAAATGACAGAAAAGTTGCGCAGGCGTCATTGTTCTACTGTAACGCTACTGTTTAACTCATTACAATTAAAATGCTTAAATACTGTGCGGCAGTTGGTCCTTAAGACAAGTACAAAACTCGTTAAGTCATTAAGAAACTAACTAATGTTTCCTGCTGCAAAAAGATCAAAATCTTTGACAGGCGCACGTGGTTTACTTGCTTTCTAGCTGGGGGTGGGAGAAGAGGATTCGTTGAATTTACAATCAGACTCATCATTGCTGTGGACGAATCGACTACCGGGCGCATCGACCCCTAAATCGATGCTCATTGTTTATCTTAAAAACTTAATCACTTCAGTGTACTAAGAGGCTGAAATCGTGAAGCTTGCAGAAGCTCGGTTGCGTAGACAGTGACGAGCTGTTGCTCTCTGCTTAGGTTCTTCATTTTCTCAAGTAGAAGAAGCAGAGGCGATAAACAGTCACTCAGAGGGAGAAAATCACTCAGTAATGTTTCACCTCTAAGAATCCTTCAAACACCGTTTTCTGCTCTTCATTAGTTAAAGGCACAAAGTCGAGATGAATAAATTCATTTATGCCGATGTTTTGAACACATCAAAGTATTTATCAACAGGGCAGAGAATTATCTTCATGAGTAAACAAATATACATACTTCTATTACTTCTTTTCTGGTTTTTTAACTCGGACGTTGCTAGTTAATTATCGTTTCCTGATGCTCTGCTGATTGTGACTTGTTTAAACATATTATCATTGCCCGCGTAAAGAACTCTTGTACTATGTAAATATATAAATGTGATTTGTTCGTACGCCTGAGTATCACAAATAATGCACTGGTCTTCCAAGACCATATTTCAAGACGTATTGCACCACCCTCATACTCGTAGTTGCCTAGTGGGAGGTGGAGGCATTTAAGCGCCCATTGTGGAGAATTGCACTTGTACAGTCATGTTGACCAGAGCAATGTTTTGTTAAACACAAATCATATTTCTGCACATTGCAAGTCTTCAATTTCCATGGAAAAATAACCTGCTTAAGTGGTCTACCAACAACAAAGGGCGGGCAGTATGCGGTAAATTTTGATCTTGGAGGAGCACTGTCCTTACTAACGTGTGTATTACGGTGTACGAACAGATATTTTGCAGAAAAACTTTGTTTTTTGCTATTTCATCATTATTTATAGTAACTTTTTTCAAGATTCATTAATCGCTTCTTGCATGTCGCAAGCTAAGGCTCTATCATGAATTACGTTGCATGTTTAATAATCGAGTAAATCTGTCTATTATACTGGATTATTTTGTCTGTACGCACTTTGGCCTTATTCACGTAAGCGGTAGATGCCATATTATAGGAATAACAAATCAATTTTTCGATGGATAATGGATGAACATGACAGTTGGCAATAAATAGTTCAGTCTGAAGTTCAGTCTGAAGCTGAAGCTGAAGTCTGAAGCTTAGCCACCCATCTTCTAAGAAAATCCGTCATTCCTTTTGGATGGCGGGGACAGCAGCGCTTGGAAATATTTTTCAATCATCCAGGTCCTCCGTTAGTTAAGTAAATTCACGTTATGAATTTCAAGGCAGGACAGTGGTACCGATTTAAACTCTGAAGAAACCAAGATGCAGTCGGTCAAAAATTAAATACCGTTATTTTGTGGCATTAATTTTTATTTATTGGCTGTAAATTTGGCAGGCTTGTGCTGCTCCTGTAATCCGTATTCTAGAGAGGTTCTGCAGGTCGAAATTCGAAATCGAACTCCGTTTTGATTGCTGGAATCGTAGACTTTTACGACATAGAAGAGATTAAGAAGAGAAGGCCTGCCCTATTTCGTTGAACATGAGTCATTTACTCCAAGGATGAAGTTTATCATGTGGGAGGCGAAGTAGGGCAGTCATCGATCAGGAGGCCAGAAGGGATGGATAATTATGGAGAAACAAGGGTAGCGGCAGAATTGCTTTCAGAGTAGAATGCTTTCTTTCTCATTGCAGTAATCAAGGCACTGTAGCAGGAGAACTGTAAACGCAACGAACATTATAAACTAGAGAGCTGCTGCTTATGAAAATGGCTCGAGGTGATGATCTCAACAAGCAGTGGCAGCAAACAAACAGCATTCACTTTATAAGAAGGACTTTTGTACCGTCCAGTTTGAGATCACACTTTCAACCGTTTACATAGACAGAACGACTGTGATTTCTGATGTCCGCTGCATCCGCAGTTTTTCTATTTTGGCATCCTAGCAGATACAGTGCCTCTCCGAAAGCGGATCTACCTCAACCTTGTTCCACCAGGTCTCATGACGGCGTCCTGGACGTCATCTGCCAGACTTCAGCACCCACATATAAAACTTATGATCCGAAGTAAATGGCTTATGCTCAATTCGTTTTTCTAACAACGCCAACTTCCTTTCCTTAACTTCCGCATATGCTGAGGTATCTAGAAAGGAAGGCCAAACAACAACTGTTTGCCCAACCGACTGACCGAAGGCCACTGGAAGAGCCAAGAAAGACTCGGAAAAGTGTCTTGACAAGTTCTGCTCCAGATTTAGGTTATCTTCCGCGGAAGCTGACACGGGATCTGGAACGTTGGAGATTCTGTCGCCAAAAGACTCGAGAGGGGCACTTCTTCTTCAGCGACCCTAAGGGATCAGCGGTCGTCGAAACTGATTGACTTGAGATCACCTGTGACCTAAAGAGAATTGATTCATTGCTTACGTGGTGTTGCCATTCAACCATATGACCAGTCGAAATCAACTCTGTGTAAGAAATGAACTTTAATTCTTGATCCTTCGATATAACAACTGTTTCTGTGCCGTACAACAACATTGACCTGACAGGCTAGGGAAAGTGTATTTCGTGAAAAAATATACTTCTTTATCAGCTCAGGTATCAGACAGGTTTCCAAAAGCGTTCGAAGCTGCGGCGATCTCCTGTTTAACTCTGATTAAGACTCTGTCTAGAACATTCCATCACTACTGATGACGAAATGCATAACTCTTATTTGTTGTTCACTGTGAAATTTGCATGTTGCTTCGGAATGAGTGCGTTATATGTTAAAGAGTTTTTATTCAAACGTGTGTAGGATATTTTGATCAGATTATTTGTGGTAGCTGGTGCTCACTTTCATGCCGATGTAAGTTATAGACAGCCAGCCAGTGGGAGTTGCCAACGGAGACGTCCGAATTTCAACCACTAACGCTGGACTTTGGCTGCGAATACCGGGTGGAGCTGCGTTCAGAACCGTATCTGTACGGCGACCCGAAGTACCGCAGTATGGCGACCATCGAGACGCCGATGTGCATAGACGGATTCTGTAGCTGCCGATGTAAGACTCGCAGACCATTAGGCCCTGACATGTGCCTGACACGTTAACCGAGTGCTTTCAGCGCAGGTGAAGCTGCCGAGCCCGAGGATCTCGTCCGTACAACCGTTCTGGGAACCAGACAACGGAACGATCCAGGTCAGGGTCACGCTGAATTTCGACCAAGCGGCTACCGACCAGTCCAGAAACGGCACCATCACCATGCATGTGCAGTTGGGTGAGTTGTACAGGAAGGCGACGGTCGCTCCATGGCGAAAGATCTTCAAGCTTCGGGTGGAAAATGCGTCTGTTGTCGCTCAGCCTGTAAGTAGCCCACTACTCGCCATCGCGCCGATCAATAAATGCCTTGGTTAAGTCGCAGACAATCTATGAAGTTGTGCTGAAGAATCTCGTTAATCACCTAGAGCACCAAATCCAGGTATGACTCGGTTTCGACTTTCGATTACTTAGCTTTCTGTCGTTTTGTTTTAGTAGTAGTCAACTTAGCCTTATCCTATGACATTGTAGATGAATTGGAAAAGCTTTTTCTATCAAACCAATTAATACTAAGAAAATGATTAATAGAAGCTCATCGCGAAATTCTGCTTTTGCTTGCAACAGCTTGTTTTTGATATTATCGGACAGCAAAACATACGTGTCTCCCTATTCGCTCAACACATCCGTACATTTCATCACATCAAGCAAGTCGACCAGTCAGTTTCGATGACCGCCTGTCCTGTCGGGACGCGGAGGCTCACGCGTCATATAGCGTAACCGGATTTGGTACCTTGTTAGCCCCTATTCCGCTCAACAGTCAGCTGTTGTTGTTTCCGTTTGAGTACACTGAGTGGGATGTTCCGCTTTCCGACGCTCCCTCTGTCGGTATCATTAGTGTGAAACCTTATGTGGTTTACTCTAATGGCGTTGCACTGTCTGTCTCTTCTGCTCAGAGCAGGTAGCGACTCCGTTGCTGACTTTTTGTCAGCCATTGTTCTAAAAGACCTGGAGCAGGTTCTGCTCGCCGACGTTTCACAGTCTGTGTCAGTTCCTCAACAGCCAACGCTGCATTGCTAGCCCTGACGACGACCGAGGCCGTGTAATGTTCGATAACGACAGTATCGTTAGTGAGGGATGGAGGAAAAGTTTTACGAAAACCTCATTAACTCTCCTCCTTACTCACGCAGGCTTAAGACAGGAATCGCCAGAGTTAAACATTCTGAAGAACTCAGGGGTTAATTTTCTGTTTGTGCTTTTGGATGGTTTGTGATATTTATCAGTATGTGTCATTATTCATTTAAATCGCTTGCATTAACAGTGGTACGTTTAGGTATTTGCCATTAACCATCACATGTGCAAAAGTAAAGTGACGAAACGGGATTTCATGGTTGATCGTAAGTAAGACAGCGTTCTTTGTACAAACTGCTATGACGATTCATGTTACAGTTCCGCTACTGAGGACGAGGAGGCCGCCAGAATGCGACCTCCTTGATCAGTTCAATAACACTGACTGCGAAATATTCAAAAACGCTGCCCTCTCTAACGACACTAGCATCACTGGCGAATTCGAGCTGAAAGTTCCAACGTATACGAGCAAAGCCGATGACAGTGAACTTCCAAAAGAGTCGATGGTCATATCGCCGGTGGCAACCTGGTCCCTTTCTTCCGGCGAGAAGCAGCAATACCTGATGATCTACCTACCGATAGTGATTCTGTTCTCAATGGCTGTGTCGACATTCGTTGTCTGCAAAATTTGCCTGAACAAACGAGTGCAGCTGCTAAATAAGAAATTGTGCCTTACTCAAATGGGCAACTTCGGTTCACCGGCCCTCATCAACCAGTAATGGCTCGCTTAACTTACGTTTCCATGCGCATAACCATTTTCATGCAATGCGGTTTGCTTTCAGCACACCAACGATGGAAACCAACGTACTGTACACTGAAAAGGAAATCGTCGATGCACAGCAGCAAGGATTGACGGACGAATACGAAATATTTTACGAAAGGCTTAAATTTGGTACGGTTGTTTTTATCGAATATTGCATCATTAATTTATGAGATTATACAGTTTATCATTAATTCTATGAAATTGATATTCTGTGGAAGTGGGAAAATTCATCTGGTTAAATTCTAACTGCTGTGATAGACGACTGGTAGAAAGCGGGATCCTCATGGATCAGAGCTTGCCAAAGGACAGCGAGAGTGCTTACAGAGTACAAAATTATAATCCATGCTATTATGTCTTACAGATAATGATCTGAATCAGTCTTAAAAGAAGAGATCAACTTAAGAATAGGAACTACTGTCTCGAAGTCTCAAAATCTCAAATCAAAACTCAAAATCCCCGCAATTATTCAGAAACATCCTAATCAAGGCCTAACTCTGGCTGAAGACATAACAATCGATTTTTGTCCCTTTGTTAATCTGCGGTCATAAGTCGTTGCGCAGTGAAACAAAATCGCGGATACAAACGACCAAACTGTACTTTCTGAGGAAATTCGCGGAGCCTACGTCTCGATTATCACTACTGTATAATCCGAGACTGCCAACTACATTCTCCTTTTCACAGTCTCCTCAAGAACTCCTGAAAAGAATCCAAGAGCAGAACAACTCTTGCATCGAAGAAGGACTGAAAATAAACCCTGAGAAGACTTGAAGTTTGTTTAACAAATGCGTAATTATGAGACCTGTTGAAGTCAGTGAACTTGAAGAGGTACAAAACTAAGTTCTTTGAGACTGCTTATCTCTGCGACGGAGCGCCAACTCTGCGAAATCAACGGAAGAGTAAAAATGACATGGACTATTTTCAGAAGATTCAAAAAATTCTTATGCGGGAAACTTCTAATGTACCTCAAGCGAAAGGTCTTCTGTCAGTGCGTTCCCCCATAAACCGTAAACATGAGTGTTGCGCACAAATTACAAACTGCGCAAAGTAACATGCAGGGGTCTGTGCTGAGAAAAGCAAGAAGATATGAGAAAAGGGAAGAAGGTGAAAGGGCACGATCAAGAGTGTGCGCAGTCATTGCAAGAGCGAAGAATTTGAAATTACAATAAGTAAGACATGTTGCAAGAGGAAATGACCATCAATGAACCAGTGGGTGTTAAACTAGACTCAGAGAGAAAACAAGCGGTCCATGAAAAGACCTTTAGATGAATGCCAGGATGAGCTGAAGAAATTTGTTGGTGTCGTGGATAAGAACTGCAGGAGACAGAATTTTGGAAATTCTGGAGAGACCGTCAACCAGCAATATATTAAAAAAGACTGATCGTGTTGCGTATCGACAGGGTTCATAGCTCAGCGATCCGAGAAATCCTTATATCTGAGCTACTGTTTCTTAGGACTGGATGATAGCGATAGTTTGGGCGTGTTTTTCGAATACCAGTATGGTAGATGAGTGGTAGCTATTTCTTGTTTGGCCCATGGGCGAAACGCATTAATGAAGATCCAAAAGAGATTTGAGCAATTGCGGTAGAAAACACTGTTCCAAATTCACAATGTCACCTGCAGTCGCCAAGAAAATGACCCAGGTACACGTTAGTGAAAGTAGGCCAGTCTGTCTGAAACTTCTACCCCCGAGATTACAGGTGAAAAAGATGTGTCCGAAACGTTGATCTCACAGATCAGCCTGCAGTAGGGTGTAGATCCTTACATGTGCATGAACAGAATCTCAGTCTTCACCATTAAGGCAGACTTCGAAAGCAATCCATTAATAATAATGTTGTTGTGCAAGACGTCGATCAAACGTTGGAGATCGAGAAAAACTGTATATACGTAATGACCTTATTCTCCAGAAGATTTAGCTTCAGAAAAAGGAAGCAATCACTCACCGAGAAGTTATTACAAGTGGATAGAATTTAGCCACAACACATTCAACCCCTACTGCATGAGTAGAGGCATCGAGGAAGATTTAGCCGCGTTCCGGTCAGTGATTAATATGGACGGTGATCCTCAAGCTTACTTTCCTGCTTTGTCGTAACTATTCGTCTCCAAAACAAATTTGTCCTTTAATGCTTAACAAGATATGCCATATTTTGGCTACCGTTAGGTTCTGTATCAGTGTTCTAAAGGTTATTTACGTTTTACCGAGGTTACATCAATTAGTGACGATTCGCTGGGGCTGCTCCGTTGTTAGAGCGTTGAACTCTGAACCGAAATATCTCGGGTTCGAGCCCCGATAGAATCACTCGTCTTTCTTCATTATCGAGGTTGATAAATGAGTATCAGTGCGTGGGAAGAAAGCAAAAAACTACACACTATGCTCCCGGCTGATGGCATGGAAATCAGAGCAGCTCCCCCACGATCTTCATGGAACGAAGGTTGCCAGAATTGGCCCAATCATGAAAGTAGAAGACAATGTTTAAAAACATTCTAATGGTTAAAATCTTTCCTTTTATCGTTAATTAATGGTAGTAAATTCACTTCGTCCCAGAAGGCAATCCCTTATTTCGGGAAAATAAATATTGTGAAGTTGGCGCACAGAAAAACGGGATGACGCATCGCCTCCTTTGGGCAATTGAGCGTTTTTGTTTGTACCCAATGAATCTTTCAGAATGCATTAAAGAACTGTTGTCATTGACTGTACATTGTACTGTACTGGACTTGCGTACCAAAAGAGAGGGAGGGACAAAACAAAATTATTCGTAGCGAATATAATGAATAATCGGTTTGTACTAATTTACGATTTTATGCTAATTCATCACTATTTTAGTGCTTAATTATAATTGATTTTGCTACCTGTTTGAAGAACACTTTTTCTTCGCTGTTCGGTTTCGAGTATAACGGCGTCATATTTCGATATTTACTTTAGGACGCGTACTTGGGCAAGGCGCCTTCGGTATGGTTTATCTCGGTACCGCAGACTCGATCGATGGTAGATCAGGGGAGATCACAGTGGCAATTAAGCAGCTGAAACGTAATTTTTAAGAAAATGTGCTAATTTTCTTGGCGAAGGTCTTAATGAGCTTAATCACTTCAGATAACGCAGATGAAGAAGAGCGGAAAGAGTTTTTGATAGAGATCGACATGATGAAAAGGATCGGTCACCATCCGAACATTGTCGAGTAACCTGATGCCGTAAATGTTAAGCAAGTGTAGACACGTCGATCTTATAGGATGTACGGTTGTTGTACAATTCAGTGCCCGAGTTGCATGGTCATGGAGTACGTGCCTTACGGAGACCTGCAGAGGTATCTACAAAACGTCCGCAAAGAGGTGCATACACGTTTTGACGAACGCTTCTGAGCCTTTCTCTGATCGTACATATGCTTTAGTACGAGCGACAGCTACCGGCTTTGTGCCGTACGATGGTCAAGGTTAAAACCACAACCAACGTGCTCGCTCAGAACCTGGAAATGGTGAAACTCAACATCGAGGAGTCTACGTTGCCAGGAGACAGTTTAGGTACCAGTTGTTCGGAGTTTGGCATTTCTACTGAAACAGTCGCAGATGTCTTTTCAAGTTAAGAAAATAACCCCTGTTTCAGACATGATTCCAGAGATGACGTACTCATTGGATCCATTGGAACTGCAAAATTTTGCACTGCAGGTGGCCGGGGGAATGGTAAGCACTGACGAGATTAGAAGATTCGTTCGTTTGTTACGCACAAGCTTCTTGTAGTCGCATCTCGAATCACTGGGCATCACTCATCGCGATCTAGCAGCTAGGAACATACTAGTGGGACATGGAAAGTGCCTTAAAATTTCCGACTTCGGTCTGTCTCGAACAGGCGTCTACGTAAAAACCACATCTGGCAGAATACCTCTTCGCTGGCTGTCCATCGAGGCGATCAGAGATCACGTATACAGTACTGCCAGCGATGTATGGGCGTACGGAGTGGTGCTGTGGGAGATCTGTACACTTGGTAAGACATTTCGTTTGATCTGGCGTAGGTGAAACGATGCGCATGTTGCTGTGTCGTTGTACACTTGCATTGAGATTGCATGTGATCAAGAAGGACTGACTTCAGTATGAAGATGCTTTATTCAGAAAGTAAGATGAGTAGAAGTTCACGAAGAGTACTGATTGAACAATGCATCAGAACCGTTGTAAACAAATGCGCTAATTAAATATGAAATTAATAGCTAAAATAAAAGAAGCGAAATGTACACAGAGCTATGAGCAAAGCCACATCCGACCGATGCGAGATTAGAAGCAGAATGCAATACAAGTCGTAGGGTAGCACAGAAAGAAATATATAAAGTTCGCTTCATAAGCGTTGCGGAATCATGAGTTGGAATAAGTCAGAGAAGTGCCCCTTACCAGTTCTGAATCTGCAAATGGCTCAAAATCAGCAATGCTGTTAAACGGTGATTTAGATGACCTCAAGTGAGGGAAATGGCGCGTCTAAACGAAGGTATGATCGCGACTACTGGTTTATTTCAGGCTGATTGCCACCATGGACAGTCAACTATTCCCTTGGTTCTAGTCGAATCACAGTCCTAGGAGTCACTCGCTTCAGACAGCATGACAATACCTTTCGTCCATTCTGATATGACTACGCCGAAACACTGTGCTGACCCCGTTGTTCGAAACTGAACGATGTGCTAGCCATTTCTAGGCTGGTTGCGTGGAACTAAATTTAAATTCGTTGCTCAAGGGAATTAGCGTTTAAAAGAATTTTTTCCGAATTCGAAACCGATCTCTTACTGCTGTATCGTCTCCCTCTCTATGCTGCAGAAACATCATCAGAACTGGCAGAAGGACGTAAACGGCATAATTATATGATAGCAAAAAACAAGCGATTCTAGGGACGGTGGTAGGGAAATGAAACAGATTGAAAGTAAAGGTGAAAGTAAATGGACTCAACGGACATCGCAAGAATTGCTAATTGTTGCACGTACTTAATTACTAAAAATTTGTTACGCAGAGATGTTACTCTCTTTTACAGAAGCCTGAATCTGCTAGGTACATAATCAAAGATCTCGATATCTCTTTACAGTTGAATATGACTGAATTCTAAGAGGTTAATTACAAATAGAAGATCGTTCGAGTGCTTATTGCCACAGCATTCTATCTGATGTGCTTCTAGTCTAATTAAAGTTTAATCCTGAGAAACCCTAATCTTTTCACTGGCAACACAACAAAGATAATATACGCATTAGGGCGCTAGTACTGTTTACGGTAAAAGTTGCTTTCGTGAAGAAGTTTCAGGTAGCTTTAAACTAAAATTCATAGATTACCTATCAGAGGAATATTTTCCATTTTTCCGATATCTCGAGCAAGATCCGCATGCAGAACGATCTTTGAACCACTACGCATAGATTACCCTGGTTTAGGACATCCGGATGATTTGCATGCTGCGCTTGTGCAGAAAGATAGTATGACATACGGATGCTCCGCTCCTAAGCTACGCGAGAGCATTCAGTTCAACGAGTTCAGGGTACATGTAAACAAAAGCTAGAAGTTCAGAGAGCGAGACAGACAGACAATCAGTTACATATACAGACAAGGCAAATACACCATATCAAGTACAACGGCAGACGGACGTACAGACAGACACAAGGAAAAGCATATACGAATACACCCACTTACATATACCCAGATAGAGAAACAGACAGACATACAGAAACACATGCAGATAAACAGATAGAAACACACAAACACAGACATAGACGTTCGTCGAGACATACACACACTCAACTACACAGAGATTATGCGTTAAGGAACACGATTTACAACAGGCATACAGTTCAGTTACAATTACAGTTCCCTTGGGTAAGTAGCTGAACTGGTATAAACCGTACTCCTCAAAATCATGAAGATGTGCTCAAATTACACCGCTCTGTAAGAGCAGATCAGCACCTTGTTTTATGAATTACGACATAGCAACTGCTCAGAAGGTCGCTAAAAAATGGCAGAGAAAACTCGATCGAAAATTGAACAGAAGCAATGGCCACCAGATAGTGCAGTCCTTTGCTGATAGTCCCGCATCAAAGAAGTCAAATCGAAAGATTTAAACGTTCAATGAACAGACACTGCAGAAGGAGGATATGCAGCTCCCTGAAGACGCTTCGAGATCTTACAAAAAGGCTCATACACACAGTTCGAATTATTTACCGCCTTAATGACATCTCTAGAGACAGTTATGTTGATGAGGTTGAGTGCAAACTCAACGCAGAATAAGGGAATACATGCCATACAGAAGCAGCAGAACAAAAAAATGCAGTCGTAGTGTAGCAGCGCATAGCTCAAAAGCGAGCGGGATTTCAAAAAAAGTTCAAAGAGAAGCTCACGTGAAAAAGAACGAATTCTAGAAGCAGTGATGGACGAACAAGCCATTGAAATATTTGACAACAGAAGGCATGACTCAGGGCCGTGCACCACATTGGAGCTATGATAAACTTGTTCTTATGCCTAATTTAGAAGTAGAAAATGGCCTTCGCCTTACTACTCGTAGGGAAAAGGAAAGTTTCAAACCGTTGAAATATTCACTTGCAGGTTTATCATGGAACCAGTTCTGGCGCCCTTCGTTTTAACAATTCACTGGTGGGGTGCTGATCTTCCATGCCATCAGTCACAACTTCTTTATTGAAAAGAGAGAATGGACACTGGCTATGAAGCAGACATCGTGTGGTATCCTGTTTCTTTCCCAGAAGCGGTGCTAGTTTATTAACCTCCACGAATAATGGCTGAAAAACTCCTCTGCTATTTGAACTCGGGACCTCTCGCTTTTGAGTCCGATGCTCTAATAATTCAGCAACCCAGCTTGCTTCCTCAGAAAGCCGAAGAACGAATTCTGTATCAAGAACCGGTTGGTCATTCCAACGGTTGGGTTGAGGGAGGCGTAAGTGCAGCATGTTCTGCATCTGGCTTATCATGATAAGCATGATCGTTACAGCTTTGACAATTTCTGCTCCACTCTTCGGTCCCTCTGACTGATTAATGCAAAATATTTACTTCAATAAATTACTTATGAACTTTACCTTAAAACCGTTATCCTGTTCTGCTCGAAGCAACTTTCTCTGGAAAGCGAAATGATGCTACTTTGTCCTACTTCTACCACCGCGTCGTTCGGATTTTAAATGTCTTACGTATTAATTGTTGTCTTTCGTTCATAGAGTAGATAACCTGATAAAATGATTCTTCAGGGTTTATTACGGAGTGACCCCTCTCCCACTGCTTCCTTGTTAAGCTACTAAGAACTATATTTCCGATTATAAGCTTGGCCTTCGCAATTGTAAGTTCTATGCTAGTTACCCAGTTATTTCGTTCTTTAGACCTCCCTGATACGAACGCGTAAGTCTAACAGCTTATTAGCGTTTCCGTGACAGATCTGAGTGGAGACCTTTACCACCTTTACCGAAATTATCATTATTTTAGGAGGATTCCCATACTCTCATATTGATGACAAAGATATGCTACGGTACTTGCTGGCAGGTTATCGTCTGGAGAAACCTCCGCCTTGCAGCGACGTCATGTAATTATTACGAATGGTTAACGCGATAACTTTAATGCATCTACGTGTTTAGATATGATTTGATGGCGCGGTGCTGGAATTACGACCCATGTCAAAGGCCTAGTTTTGTGCAGATCTACCAGGAATTGGTGGACCTAAGCAAAGGAAACAATTTGTACGTCGAGTTCGACGACGATGTCAATACAACCCTACCCCCGGGAACGTACTGCCGACTGGCACCAGATTCCAAAATTGACTCTATTTACTGTATGTGCTGTAATCAACGAGCGGTCTCCTCAGTGTAACGGGTCCATTCTAGAGGCAAAACTTGCCTGAACAGAAATTACGCTTTCGGTTCCGTCCGTCCGGGACGCGGTTCTCCCTCATAGCCGCATACTGCAAACGTCCGCTTCCAAACCTGAGCGTCACTTTCATTCTGAGCTATTATTTATTCGTGTGCGGTTGTTGAACATTATTTGTATAGAGAGCGTCATTAAGCGCCATGGGGCCGATCGCTGATTGATCGAGTATCATGAGATTAGCGGTCGTCTGAGATTTCTATGAGGAACTCTTAAACAAACACTTGTAATTTGTTGTTCAAAGTAAACAGTTCTTAGACACGCATCCAAGTACAAGCTGAAAACAAAAAAAAACATCTATGAATACCATTATTTTTTAAAAATTTTTAAAAATAGACTGGCGGTTTGCTGGTCGACTGCACCTTGAGATCACGAAGTTTAAAAAATGTTTAATTTAATTTACAAATTCCTAATTCGTCGAGAAACACGGGGCAGATCGATCGGCTTTTGAACTTTCTCTGAACTCGCCCAGCAGCGGTTCCAAAGAAGTTATCGCCGATCACGGTGAAAAGTTTGTCATCGAACAAGAACTGAAAAACGCTTCCTGCCTTCGGAATGGTCACCACTCGATTCTTCTTTGTCAAGATCATAAACGTAAGGCGTGTTTCCATGATGACCATACCGCTTATTCCAATTTGCGTCGCGTTCCGAGCGTGTGATACTCGCATTAAACATCCGTGATAATCGGCCTTCAGGTAACACGACTTCCTGAAAGTTTGACAGTGCAATTTGTTATTACCGTCATATGTATTACAGGTTGAGTATCTCCAATGTGAAATCTGTTACATTGTACTGTGTTATCTGGCTTCTCAGTCCTGATTTTTCTGAAAATTTCTTAGGATAATACGAACACCCTTCCCGTCCCTCTCTCCCTCAACGTTGCATCAGCAGTCGTACTTTCTGATATTCGGCCAAGCAGAAAAGAGCATCCCTTCGCCTTTAACGAGGACTGGATGACCAAACATTATAGGAGGTTTTCTATGTCTCATTCGTGAGCACACTTTCTCACTACTCATTTTGCCTGCAGGGTCGAAAAGGAGAACCAAACGTCAAACACCCTATTTTTATGCCTTCATTTTATCACTGAAAAGTCATTAATTCTAAACTTATATCCTCCCTTCCTCAACTCTCTCCCTTCCAATCTATATAAGCTGATGAAAATATCTTTCTGTACTGCAATGAAACCAGGGTCATTTCAATTTGTGGAATAACAGTTTCTTTTGTTGCGATTTGTAATGAGCTGCTACGCGCGTTCTGGAACCTCTGTCACTTTACACTCACAGCAGACAGCGCTTCTGAAGTACTTCAGCTTTTGTCCATTAAAATTTTTATTCAAAGGAAACAGATTCGTTATTTTGTGTATTCAAGTGGAGAATTTGAATTAAAAATGTGCTAAATGGTTTTCAATACTAGAATACATTGGAATTGTGACCCGGTATCAGTGTTTTAACCGATGCCATTAAATTAGACACGCTCCTACCGAATGAAAGAAAGTTTTCATGAAGGTCCCGTTTCTTAACACGGCCGCGTCATGGGTATGCAGTAAACCGTCAAAGGTCAGTGCGAGATGTCTCTGACTGCTTATGTTGTCTTTATATATCGTTAAAGATATCAAAATGGCCCGATAGTGATAACCCCATGGATGACAGTGACAAGAGGAAGCACTTAAAGCTATGAATTGAACAGGAAGTTAACCTGTTAAAGAAACTAGATATTAGTTTAAGCGTGAAACTTCTTTCAAATGAGCTTGCAGTTGTAACTACCACCTTCTACGACTTAAATTAATGAAAAATAGAAAAACATTGCATAAAAATAAAAACGAAGATCTCTGGTGTAATGCTTTTTGTGGTGAGAGATTTCTTACGGTGCTCGCCGGAGTGCCCCCATGTACCCCTGCCATAACTCGTGCAGAGGTAGCATCTGCGCATATTGAAGCGACAGCCGTTTGATCTTGTGACAACGTCGCACGTTCGAAACGACGGCTTTTGGCTTCGTTTGACGGCGGGACGACTTTTCCAAAACATATGTTTTACGAAAGGTACTGCGCCCCATCTGCAAAAAAAGCGACAACTGATTGCACGAACGACAGCCAATGATGCTCAAAAATGCAGATGCATACACAATACTGGAGAACCACATGGGCACAAAAACATGATCTGTCATAACGTTTATTTACAAATAAATAACCAACAAAATATGAACAGGAAAAAAACGAAAACATTGCACAGATGGCAAAATGAACGAATTATGAGTCTGTTACTTTCGAGCTCGAATCAGGCATTCTTGAACGCCGCTTTGCGATCGCGTCTTCGATCACCTTCAGTTGAAGCAGCAACTCCTCTCTCCTCGAAGAAACGTTCTGCGAACGAATGTCTGACAACTTCTTGCTGCTTCCTCCGTCAGCTGGCGCCTCTGGCAATTCTTCAAAATTCGACGAATCAGAATTTGACCCGGATCTGACTCGGCTGCATTCAGACAACTTTATTTTTTCGTACTGGTTCTTGTGCGAAGTGGTGCCGCTCGAATGACCAGCGTTGCGACCCACTTCTTCCTTAGTTTCCTAAACACTGTTGTAATATCAGGCACGCTATCAGTCCCTGGTTGCGAAAATTAACATATCGATTATTTCGTTGCGATGCCTAATCAATTAAAACGTATGTACGAAAACCGTATTTACTGAGGAACACTGACCAGAACACTGCGGTAAATTTAAGCTTGTCATCAATGTCGTGTGCATCGGTTCGTTTGTTTGTTCAGATCATCATACGAATGCTCGCTGCCTATACTGTTCCTGATCATGGATGACTTAAATGACTACCAACAAGTAAATCTATTTTGTGAACCGATGAAGAACAAGTTAAGGCGTGCCAAAAAACTCAAATATTAAAAAATTAATTTATCGACCCCATCGCTTAAAACACCATAAATTTTAATACTTCCTATTAAACAAGCTTCCTATATTTCACTGCTTAAGTCGGGCAAGTAAATTTTACTCGACAATAGCCTGGCTCAAAAGTTTTCGAGAGATCAAAAAAACACTACAAACTACTGGAAACACTGTCAAATAAATTTGTTTAATTTCAGTTAGCAATATAACTAAAATAATGTAGCAGGTCCAAATGAAAACTACCTTTCTGCGTTGTAGAATGATGGAAAAAGATACGAATTTATAAATGCATGTAAACGGATATTAAAATAATCTGACAGTAAAAGCAGCAGTAATGGGTCATAATCAATATCATGAGAGCAACGACAAAGAACAATCACTCTTTACGACAACTAACTAAAGTGATAAATACTGAAGGGCTGCAGGAGATCCACTGGGAATATCCGGTATTTTAAGAAATATATTCATAAACCTTTGGAAGGAAGATCAAGTTGGGGAGATGAAAAAATTCTTTCGGGAACAGTGAGATTAATAAAAGAATATTGTATCAATTTTGACTACATAGAAAGCTATATTCTTCAGGATCTAACAAACAAGTATACAACGCACAATAATTCTGCTTACATGCTGTAGTCACAACTGGTTTCGGATCAAGCTCGATCCGTCTACACAATTATGCAAAGTCCTACTTTTATGCCGGTCGAGTTCACTCTTGCGTCTGATGGTGTCATATTTCTCACTAGAACGGTGTTACTC